GATGCTGTAGGACAATAGACAGACCTGAATAATTGTGGGTTAAAATCTGTACATATTAATTACCTAATTTGCATAATTAACCAATTTTAAGCTTTCACACTGATATCTAAAGTACCGTAAAAACTCCAAAATTTCGACCGGTTTTAAATAATTGGTGTTCGATATGTGACGTGTTTTTATAGTCAAAATTAAGGTGCATTTTCGGACGGTCGAATTTTTCAGAATAGAAATCAGCAAATGAAAAAATGGGGATGATAGACAGTGTGCTTCATTAGTTTTTAAAAAATGCAATGTCCGTCAATTGACGTAAACTTCCTCATGTTTCACGGTAAAAGCAAAGGTCGTGGCCGAGTTGTAACTCAAAATCTAAACAAAGTTATCAATCAGTGAGTATTATGACAAGCAAAACAAAACATCAAGACGCGGAGAAGAGGTCAGCACAAAACTAATAGGTCAAAAGACAAAGCTGTCTCGCACTACCTAGAAAAACTTGCGAATGTTCGAAGTACGGGTACCCATTGGACAAAAGATGCATGGAAGTTTAGCAAACTATCTCCCCGACCCAGTGCAATGTATCCGGTTAAAATCAAAGCTCACGTGTCCCTTATTTGAGGGACCAAATTCTGCCGTAAATTCGCCCTTGGATTAAAAAATAAAATGGGATTTAAGAAAATAAAATGGGACTTTTAAGGTGTATTTTGGCGTCATTTTTCGGACATTTCAATCAATCCTGCCGGCTAAAATAGAGTCTAAGTTTTACCGTAGTCATTGACGTTTGTCTATTCAAGAGTACACGTGTATGATTTTTATCGTGACCACAGGCGCTCGGAACGTTTCCTGGATAATAAAAAATGACCTAAAGTGGGATCGGCATAGTTAGTCAGTCGCCGGTAAATTCCCCTAATACTCATATAATATCACAAGGTAGGAAAGCGTTGACACCATGACACCGAAACTTCCCGAAAATAGCACGATTTTCCAAATTATATTTCGATCCGCTTCACACAACTCAAGCATGATATCGGTAGAAACTATCGATCGACTTACATTTCCCTTATTCGAACTAAAACGGGTTAAATCCTGTGAAAATCGAAAACACCAGAACAATATGAATCAACCCGTTCTACCGCGGATATTTTGAA